CAGTAGTTTCAATGCATTTGTGTTGAAAAGGCATTCAAAATAACAAGAATCTCATCAATAATTTTATTTTTTGATATGTTTTGACGGGTCTGTCGGTTATGGCATACCTCGCACTTGTATGTTGTTTTAGAAAAGTTCAGCTAATGGTTAGGTGTGCAAACATTTTTGCCCATAACTATTTTAATAACAATTATTTTTGCTACTACTGTTTTACCACGACCATATACTCCTGTTATAGATAACTGTTTGACTTTTAAAAATCAATGATAATCAAATACACTATAAAATATACTGTAATTTTAGTATGTTGAATATAACTACTTTATTTTACTATTACATGTGATACACTATTAATGTTTATTATGTATATAATAACGAGTGTATACTGTGTTTGTATCAATATCTCTACCCATATATTGAATGCCAATTATTGAGTAATTTCGGGCCACAAGTGCTCGAACTGATGGCTCAAAAATAACAGGTAATTCGAGCCCATAATACCGGTGCTCTCACTCCCAGATGTATTGATAGAGTGTATAATCAGTTCCTCTTTTTTATACACCTTTTCCCTCAAGTGTTTGAATCCAAGACTTTTATTTTTAAGGGAAATGACTTCCAAATCATTACCATTTTATATTCAGCTATAATTTGATACATATTTTTAAAAACTCCTGAATATAAAAGAAATTTAATAGTATTTGAAAAACTTTTGAATAAATTGTTATTATTTTTCTAAAATGTTTTCTGGTTAGATTAAAACATTTAATAAATTTTATTTATTGAAATTATTATTAAGTTAAATATTTAATACTTTTGTATGTATGCATTTGAATAAGTTAGATGGTTTAATTTGTTAATCAAGTGGTTTAAATTTTTTTATTTAAAATAAATTATCTATTTTACTATTCATTCAATACAGTGGTGGGTGTTATGGGGAAACATATCAAGTGTTTTGCAAACAATTAAATGTAAATTAGAGTATATCGTGAATATCTCTCTCTCTCTCTCTCTCTCTCTCACTCTCTCTCTCTCTCAGAGTAATTTCGGGCCACAAGTGCTCGAACTGATGGCTCAAAAATAACAGGTAATTCGAGCCCATAATACCGGTGCTCTCACTCCCAGATGTATTGATAGAGTGTATAATCAGTTCCTCTTTTTTATATACCTTTTCCCTCAAGTGTTTGAATCCAAGACTTTTATTTTTAAGGGAAATGACTTCCAAATCATTACCATTTTATATTTAGCTATAATTTAATACATATTTTTAAAAACTCCTGAATATAAAAGAAATTTAATAGTATTTGAAAAACTTTTGAATAAATTTTTATTTTTTTTAAATGTTTTCTGGTTAGATTAAAACATTTAACAAATTATATTTATTGAAAATTATTATTAAGTTAAATATTTAATATTTTTGTATGTATGCATTTGAATAAGTTAGATGGTTTAATTTGTTAGTCAAGTGGTTTAAATTTTTTTATTTAAAATAAATTATCTATTTTATTATTCATTCAATACAGTTGTGGGTGTTATGGGGAAACATATCAAGTGTTTTGCAAACAATTAAATGTAAATTAGAGTATATCGTGAAATCTCTCTCTCTCTCTCTCTCTCTCTCTCTCTCACTCTCTCTCTCTCACTCACTCACTCGCACTGTGGTTATTGTAAAGTACAAACAAAATAGTCCAGATAAAATAAAACTAGATTTAGAGTACACTAATGACAGTGAGATTAGCATTGATTAAAAGTATTTTATCGATTGAATAGAAAGTATATTTATTAAACATTTTCTAAATAATAAATACTTAAACATATGGTTATTATAACAATTGTTTGAAATACAAAATTCAAATCAATTTTCTTAACTCTGTTGACACAACTTTTGTTGAATGAAAAACACTTTCCTTTCAATAAGTTGTTTAAAAAACTTTTTTACTTTTGTTATCGTTATGTCTGCTTATTATATAAAATTTAGAAAAGTTTGGAAAAATAATTTTTGTTATTAAATAATATGAACAATAAATAGACAGTAGTTTTCATCACTCTTTTGGGGACAAAAAAAGAGAAAAAACTTTTAATATTACCACTCGTTGTGTGAAAAATACGGAAACAATTTCATTGAACTAAACAAATACAGAGAGAAAACACTTTTTATGTGCGTTTTGTTACACTTTGAAAAAACACATAAAATAATATTAATTTTGTGTTTGTTTTGTAAAATCTCTTTTGTATTTCGAAAAACGCAAGAATCAATTGAAATGAAAAACTTTTTTTCAAACTAAAAGTCGCCGTTTTGTAGCACTTTTTGTGTTATTTGTGAATTCAATGAATCGTATTATTAATTTTTTTTATGAAATTACTTTTAAAACTTAAACTTTATACAACCATTTTCTACTCTCTATCCAAGCATATTATCCAATAAATAAATGCAGTCCTATTGTGAAACCCCAATTTAAGTCATGCTAAGCACGTACCTTTATTAGCCAGTACACTCTCAAAGGTTTAATGACATTAAAAAATAAATTTAATACATACTTAACTGTACAGTTAATATAAATTTTATCTAGTTAATAAAACTAGTGTTCACACAATATAAATGCCATTAATTACAAAATTAGTATATACATAATTAAATTAAATTTATATAAATGAGCAAGTATAACTAAATTTACATAATTCTTGACGATACAGTCGCAGACAGCACGAGCACAGAGAGCACATGTCGCACCACCAGTCCCCGGGTCACCACAACAACCACGCGGTGGGCCGACCGAAGGACTACGTGAAGCACCAGAACAGCGGGTCGGACAGCGACGATATGCAAGAGATGTCGGGTTTCGCGCGATTCTGTTTCGGACTCCTCTGGTGTTTTGCACAGATAGGCCTCTGGGGGTCAGTCCTACTGTTCCTGTATTGGGTGCTCAAGTTTGACAAGGGGTTCGCCTGGCAACACGACAAACGCAAAATGTTCAACCTACATGCTTTCCTCATGCTCACCGGGTTCATTTTTATGAATGGCCAGGGTATGTTGCTACAATATTGTTCAATATTTGTTAATAGTGGTGTTTTTTCAAATGGTTTATAATTTTTAAGCATATTTCTAATGAATTTATTTTGATATTTTTAGTCAAAGTATTTTTGGCTAGGAGTTAGAATATTTTTTATAAATAATTTTCAACTTTATATTTATGAATTGTTAATTTATATTAAATATATAAATAATTAACTTTCTTAAAATAATTTGATATACAAAATATTTCTATTTATATACTAAATCCGTTAAACGGTATTTAAACTTTTATTTAGAAAGTATTCATTAATTTTTGTTTTCCCATCAAACATTAATGATTAATTTGCGATTTTGTTTTGTGATCAAAATTACATTAATTTTTTAAGGAATTTCTTATAAGAAATAAATGATTTCCTACCGGTGCTCTGTTATTACATTATCTAATCTATGATTGGAAATACAAACAAAACAAAAAATACTTATTAATTGCAATTTATTTCACATCATATATTAATATTAGTTATAGTCGACCCTCATTATAGTTTACAATAGTTTAATCAATATTATACTTTTTAGATAAATATCATGAAAATAACAACAAATACATTGCCTTTTAATAGATAGTTAAATGAAATTTCTTTTTGGGTTAAATGAACATATTTTTAGCTTAACTCTTATGAGGGGTACACTATCTCTCATATCTATAAATAGTAATAACAAAATATATTCAATCAATAAGTCCTGTAATGACTGCCAATGTCTTACATCTTATCTCTCGAGAGCTAATTATAGCCCAAAACTTATCCCAAATTAAGCCTTAAGTCCTCCGCAAATAAAAAAGTTTTATTTATAGAGAAATTCATAGTTTTTAGTTTTAGTTGAATTATTTCTTTCAACACATTTTCATAGATTATGTTAATATTATACTATTTTGACTTTTATTGTGTATATTATCTTATTTATTAGTTAAGATATTTGCGATTTCTGAAAATAATTTTTAAATTTTTTATTTAATTTTAATTAAGTTTTAGAAACTATTATCGTTTATTGTGATTTATAATCTTCATAAATGTTTCTATAATTATAAATATTTTTCATTTGTTTAGATAAAATATTTTATTTGTTTTACTCATAAGGCAATTCTAGTTATAGCCATAATTTATATAATAATAATATCCAAGTAATGACTTAATAATCACGACTTTATAATAGTATCAGACTTAAAGACATTTTGGAAACAAATAGAAAATGAGTTCATTATATTGGGGTACAAAATAATAGCCATTAATTACTTTGTGGGAAACATATTTAATATTAGTTTTAGTCAATCATTATTTGAACAATCTAATTGCTTAATACAGTACTTTACAGATTGCAATGTATTTTGCATTTAATAAGACGTGTGAACAATACATAATAGATTGTATTTAATTAATGTATTTTTAAAACACTTTATAAAATATATTGAAAATATCTTGACACTTAACATTAGTTGCTAATAAATGGTTTTAAAATAATTCACGATATTTTAAGTGTGCATATAATCTATGACATTTGATTGACAAACACGACATACATTAATATCTTAATTATATTTATTAACTGATTTTGATCCACATTTTCACTAAGTTTTCATAAATTTAAATCAATTTTAGTTTTTATTGCTGAATTAGTTTTGCTTTAATTAGACAATGAGTTTATCAAATGATTATATTTTTGTTGATAAGTTATTAAATCGATAATAGTATCACTGAATTAATGGTGTAATTAAAACATTGTGGTTATTTTAAAACACAACATGAGTTAATCATAACTACAATAAAAAAAGTTAATATTAATTTACAATTTGTTGCTAAAGTTTGAAAATAGCAAAAGTATCATTATATTTTGCTATATATAACTACATTTAATAAAAATTATATTATAAAAATACTATAATACATTATTACCTATCAATCTAGTTCAATTATTGTGATATTTATAACTTGCCAATCAATTATTAATGCTTTTAATTGTTAGTGTTACTAATATTTAATTTTAAAAATGATATTTTGTTTGAAATTTAATTATAGTTAGCAATAATGATTTTTATTTCGATGTAGTTAATTATAAACCAGCACACAAAAAACAAAACATATAATTAAATTCATTATTCTTTGCCCATTGATAGCGATGTTAATCTACAAGACATTCTTGTGCTGCAAAAAGATCTACAATAAGATAACGCACACCATATTCTTCCTGTTGTCCACATCCCTGATCACATTTGGCATGATTGTGGGCATTCAGGGCCAACACCTGTCCCCTCTGGACCTGCCGTCCGCCCACTTCTACTCGATTCACTCGTGGATAGGACTCGTCACCGCCGGACTCTTCGCCCTCCAGGTCTGTAATCATCACCAAATCGCACACATTTTGCAGTCAATTAATAGCTAGTAATCTGTGAATAAATTTTATCCATCTAATCAAACATTAATAGTATCATAATCATATTAATATTAAATGTTATATGGTAATTTACAGCAATTATTGCAATGCACTAATTTTTATAGTGTAGAAATTTATCAGGATACATGTTTTATTTATGTGATTGATATTGTACTGTATATGAAATAAAATGAGATGTTAAAATCTAATGTACCCTGATTCAATTTACAGTTTCTCTTCGGATTCATCACATTTCTGTTGCTATTATGCTGTGAGAAGGCAACGGCCGGTTTCCGGGCCCGAGTGCTACCCACCCACCAGACTATGGGTATTATCATCTATACTCTGGCCATCGCTGGCTGCCTGACCGGCCTCTTGCAAACCGCCCGATCCAGACTTAGGTGTGTATTCATATATACTTTCATAGACCATGGTTATAATTATACCTTTATAATGGATTTACGTATAATTATCAAATTTAATGTAAAAATAATTATAAGTATTTTATACTAATGAATAAAAATCTTATCAAACGTTACATCAAATTAAACGTTAAGTTTTAGTAAAGTTTTAAAAAATAAAATTAAGTTATTTAATTGAAAACTAAAATCAAAAATGAAAAATAAGTGAAATTCTAATGAGATTTCTATTATTATTAGTTTGAATATCGTTTTGAATTATGAGAGAAGTTTTTTGTAGAGATTATAATCTAATCTATTTTGGAATGCATTCAAAAACACTTATTATAAACTCTCGAAAAACTTTAAATTATTAAATATAATAGTTTATTTAATGTATAAGTTTTAAAACTCAATTATATTGTGCATGAAATTAAAATATAGTATGTTAACTGTTTCCACTAATAAGTTATATAAAAATAAAAATATTGTACAAACTTTTCTAACATGACTTTTAATTTATTTTGGCAAAACTAGTGGTCCGTCACCCCTGGAGCCGGAAAAGCCTGACTATAAGAATATCGGAAGCCCTTTGAACCCGTTCCTGAACCCCGGGATGGTTATCAATCTGGTGGGCGTGTGCCTCATAGCCCTGGCCATTATTATGCCGTACATTATACGCAATTTCACGCAACGTAGAAATATGGCCTCGTTTAGTGTCAACTAATTTTATATTAAAACACATTTTCAAACACAATGACTATTGAATTAAATAATATTTAAATTGAATTTTACAGTTTTTACTAATTTAAGTGTCGATTACAAATAAAAACCCGGTTTATAAATATACACACAATAATTAAATGTACTGTACACTTTTTATAATATTATATAAGGGGTGCATTTATTATTGATTGAAATTTACTATTTATAATAATACACTGATTATTCACAAAATAAATTGAAAAAATATTTTGTTATTTATAAAAAACGCAATATATTTATATGAAAAGTTTACACAAATATTTTATAACAAATTATATACTACATACAATAGTTTGCCCTTATTAAATCTAATACTGATTTAGTGTTTACACTTTATAATGAAAGTTAATTTGTATTGATTTACTAACAATGATATTTTAGTTTATATTTTAACAATTAAATACCTATAAATAATGTTTAGGTTTCTATTATATTATATAATTATACGGTATTTTTGAGACAATAATTATATTATATTCACAATATGCTAAATGCTGTTATAATTGGTTTGTTAATTTAAATGAATATTTGGTCTTAAAGTATATTTGACAGAATATTTTGCAATAATTATATAATCCATACATAATTTTACATAAATATACTGGGACAACATGCGATAATAAAATGCAACCCGGTTATGAACTACTCATATACATTGCATTTAAACACAAAACATTTTATTAAAAACATTTATAAACAGCCATCACATACACCACACCTCTCATTACACACATTACCCATTGGAGGGGCCGGTAGTATGGAAATGTAGCATTTACTTGATAGTATAATTGAGAGATATATAATTGATTTTGGAAAAAAATTATTAACACAATAAATACATAAATCATTATAATTTTTAAATATATTTTCATTTGATATTCTCTCGTTTTATTCAAATTTTTATTTGTCTTTTGATTTTAATTTTTTTATTTTTTTGTAAATAATTTTTCTCTAATCATTTCAAAAAGTGTGTGTTTCCTTATTGTCTTAATTATTATAATTACTTTTTTAATATTTTAATTATAGACACTGTAACTCATAAATTAAAAATATTGATTATATGGTTTGAATTATAATTAAGCATCATTTTATAATTTAATTTTACGCAAAATTAATAGTTCTCTATTTTTGATTTTGTAATTTTACTTGAAAATAAAAATTGAAACTTTATTATAAATTATTTAATTGCATTTATTTGAGAGGGAGAGAGAGAGAGAGAGAGAGAGAGAGAGAGAGATTCAACTAAATTTAATAAATAAAATATTATATCAAATTAAATAAGTAAATAAAATTAATTTATAAAAACCATATTTAATGTCAAAATAATTCTACAATTTACTATTTTAATGAAATTTATTATTTTATGATAATTAACACAGTCTCAATGGATTACTGAAAAAATAGTGTTTTTATCAAATATTTATTAAACAAATAAATTATATGCACACCATAATTATCATGGTGTTTGCTCCGAATCAAATTTGTGCCGATTTGACTCCAGTACTAATGGGTTACCAAGATATTCCATATTATTGCGGGTAAATACTTACCTGTAGCCACAGCTAATATAATAATCTATGAAAATCTAATTATATTATAATAGATACAATCACATCTACCCTGTTTGACATGTGATAGTGTGTCGCACTATCTGATAAAAAATGTTATTTTTGGGAAAAGTAAGGGCACATTATACTACTGGTATGCATTATCTGAGAAAAATTGTTTTATTTTTATATAAATTATTTTATTAATTTCAATTTAATAGAAAATCAAACTTTACATTAATTAAACAACTTTATACGTAAAATACAGGTTAATTTAAAACAAAACTATCGGTACATATAATTTGAGTAAATGTGTTGACAAGGTTGCAAATATTAGTAAAAACTGACTAGTTATTTAATGTATTTTTTCTATGTGCATGCAAGTAGGTCTTACTGTTAGTCTGGATCACTGTGTGTACCTAATACTATCTTAAAATTTATTTGTATATAAGTTCCTGAAATTGATATAATTGACTAAAAAATATTATAATCAAAGGCAGTAAATAGAGACACAAATGAGGTATTGGTCAATACTATTGGAGTCAAATTACTTATAAAATCAGCAACAACATCTCAAACACTTATCCAGATATCTTTCCCGACTTACTACATACATTCATGTAAATATATTTTGTTTTAAAAATAATGTATGGCATAAATGATTTAATTTAATAGATTATTAAAAGGCCTTCTCAAAGGTGTGCCAATATGATGGGCTCATCAAATAATGGTTGGGTTTGGATGCTTACAAGTCAGTCATAGCACGTTGTAATAGTCTTATGATTTCTACAGTATGTGTGATTGTGTCCAATTTATCAACCATTATGTGACTCCTAATCCAATGTAGAGTCGGTGTCTGATTCGGAGTTACCCTGTAGTGCATGCTATCATTAACAATATAAGTTGCATGTTGTTAATTAAATAATTTGTAACATATTATGTTATATATTGTATATTAATGTTAATTAAAAAGTTTATGATCAATTGTATTTACTCTTTATTGAAATATAAATTAAATTTTTTTAAACCCAATTTTGTAAATATGTTTTGTCCAGAATAAATAAGTCTGTGTTGAATGGTTCAGGTATTTGGTGGTGTAGTGGTCTAAAGGGCTGGTAATATAGTGGCCACTAGGGGTGGGTTCGAGCCTTTGGGAGGACTAGTCTTATGAATGTAGTGTTTCCCCAATACAGGACTGTTAGCAAATGTCCGGTATATATGGTCTCCAAACACTTTTGATGGTGAGTTAGCACCGGGTCTTACGAGCGGTCAAAGTGCACGACATGTTGGTTGAGATACTGCTTAAAAGCGAACCCTTTTTGGCAACCATTCAAATGACAAACAAATCGCTTTTCGCCCCAATGTATCATTTTGTGTTCAATTGAATGGTGTTTTTGTCGCAAACTTTTGCCACAATTTTCTTCATTACATTTCAATTTCCTTTCATTCAAATGAACACTACTTTTCTGTCGAAGTAAATGTGATTTCTGTGTAAACTGTTTGTCACATTCACTCCAATCGCATACATATCTCACGTTTAAATGAACTCAGTTTTTGTGTCCATTTAGATGTTCATAACGTGTATACATTTTATTACAATTATCAAAATTGCATTTTAATTGTTTAATTTTTCAATGTTTTGATTGATGAACTTTTAATTTGCATTCATATCTAGTTTTTAAGTGACATTTAGGTTAAAAACAGTGGAAATAGTGATAAGTTTTGAGTGTATTAATGGTGTT